TTTACCCTATTCTTTCTTATTGGTTTAGTTTCTCCCTCCTCAACCTTTCTGCCATGAAACTGGACAAAAAAAAATAGAGAAAGTACACCCCCACATTGTAAGTCCCTCGTGTCTCTCTAAACTCCCATGAGGCTCTAACTAACAAGCATGGGCGGCCATGAAACCACAGCTGGAGGGTATAGCATGTACGCGTGTGCATTACGAAGGCAGTAGCTGAACTAAACTGCAGCAGTGATACAAGAGCCAGAAATCCTGAGCTTTCTCCTTTCCAGCACCCTGATTGCTCCAGGAGATCCTAAGAGGAGCAGGCACACAAATCCTGATGCCCAGGGAAAAGCTCTGCTCAGGGCCCTGCCCTCCCCTCACACACAGCTGTCAAGCACGAGAGGAACAAGGAACCATGTAGAGGACACAATATGTGCATGTGTATAAAACCTATCACAGAAATTATGAATGTAACAAAAACAAAAAACAAAATTATTTATGCATTTATATGTAATAGCTTGTGTGTATAAGATATCGACTGTATATGCACATGAGAGCAAACATCCACTTTTGTAACTGTCCAAAAGAGGGCAGCAGCACTGGACCTGTGGACATCAGCATAACCACCAGACCAGGTGAGAGCAGCCCATGCCACTCTCACTTCCTATGTTTCCATGACAGCACATGTGTGATAGAGTTCTAAAGATGTTCACCGCAGACATAAATATATCTTCTAAATATAAACTAAACCCTAACTCTGCCTACAACAATGCAGAGAAAGAAAGAAATGTAGAAAAGAAAGTGCAGAAATACTCAATTCAAGAGAAATATAAAGAAATACAGAAATAAAAATGAAATGCAAAAACATGAGAACATAAGAAAAATTTGAAAATGTAGGAAAACAGTAAATAGAGAAAGAAATTAATACAGAAAAAATGCAGAAAGAGAAAACATTTTCAGAAAAAAAATGCAGAAATACAGAAAGAAAATAAATTCAGAAAGACAAATCAGACAAAAAGAAAGAAAGAAATGCACAGATACATAAAGAAATACATAAATGCATAAAGAAAGAAAGAAATACATGATGAAAAATGAAATGCATAATGAAAGAAAGCAAGAAATAAAGAAAGAAAGAGATGCAAAAATAAATGCAGAAAAAAATTAAAACGGCAAAAAGAAAAAGAAAAAAAAATGCACATATAAATGCAAAAAGAAAGAAAAAATGAAAGAAAAAAAATGAATGAAAAAAGTTTCACAAAAAAACATACAGAATGAGATTGCAGGAATATATAAAGTGAAAAAATGTAGAAATAAAAGCAGAAAGAAGAAAGAAAAAGAATCAAAAGAGTCCTACATAGCCTCCAGCTTTCATTTATTGGGTAATGTTGCTTATTCTGACTGATTCACCCAAAATTCACAGAGGCAAGTGATTCTCTGCTACAATTCACACCAGGATTACACACAGCAGGAGCCGCTCGCTTCTGTTCATAAGAATCACAGAGGAAATAAATCAAGCTGACAGAGGAAGGGACACTTTAGGTGACAGCCAGATAAAGGCGGTCAAAAAGGGCCGCACAGGGTATTAAATCTGAACTATACGAGACCATAGACATACTTCCATGTCTGATCAGAGACTATGAGAAAGAAGTTCCTTGCTTTACTCACCGCTTTATATGTTTTCTTCTGTCCGGCGTGTTTGGGTGCTTTGGCCGGGTCCGAGCTGATCTCCACGTGCATGGCATAGATGATGTCATAGAAGTCCTCCACCACAGCGACCCTCTTCAGAGAGGAGCTCTCCGGCCCCGAGCTCCCGTCCACACACTAAAATCACACAGAGAAATAGAAATACTTACTTCATATACTTAAGCACTGTCACACAAGCAAAAGTGATGTTATTATACCATTGTATTATCTTGAGAGCCTGACAAACACATTCTCACTTCTAAACAGTACATTTAAAGTCAAATAGTGATTATCACAGCACATAATTCTGTGCTGTAAAACAACAGTGTTTTGGTAATATGATTAGAGATGCCTATTTTATCTTTTGAAATATATTTCCTTTGTTAAATGATTTTTACTTCGTTCAACAGGTTTAATATTAAAATAGTTTCATTCTGTACAGTGTGACTGGTTGAAATAAGAATGCCAGAACAGGTGTGTGTGTGTTCAATACCAGACTCACGTTTAGCAGTAAAGGATAGAAGACTTTAAAGCTAATTTATTTATGTATACAATTTGGATGGGACATTTGCCAATTTAATAATCTTCAAAGCACAAAAGATCACCTATGAGACCAGCATTACTGTCAACTGCTACGGGCTAGTGGCAAAAATTACATTGGCATCTTTTTTAAATAGGTGCATGTAGTTAAAAAAAACAAAAACATTTAATACATTTTTTTTTTTACATGAAGAGTCTAAATGAAATGAAATTCACCTGTCTATTTTGTAAATGCATGTTTTTATGCTATTGTGAATGATTAATTCATGCATATGTTTAATTTTTTAATAAAGGTTTTGGAATTATCTTTTCTCTGGTAACATATGCCGGTTTAATCCAATCATTTAATCCACATAAACTCTGTCTCCATCCAATCAACATCCAATGTACAGAACCAAGTCCTGCCCAACATTTTTTTCTTTTTTGATAATCTGGCTGTGCATCACAATTCGGAAGAAAAGATCTGTCTCTACATCATTGTGACATTAAGAACAACATTATTTACAATGATGGCCTGGCAAAGGGATATTGTCCTCTTGAACAGAGACAGGGAAAATTAGGAAAAATTAAATATAAGCACAATATATTAAATAAGGCTAAATAAAAAGAAATCATTCATAATACAAGAACAAAATGGATTTTAAAAAGGCTAGCTAAAAACAACTCTGCAGTACAGACAAAGGCTTAGATTCTCAGGAGGACTTTTAAGAAGTCTGAAAGAGGAATTCTGGGGAGAATCTCACCTCTCACATATGAGGAGCAACATTGGAGAGACGAGATGTTTTTCCTCAGGGGAAGAGAGGGTCTGATCACGGTAGATGGCGGACACAATACACTCAAAATAACCACAAAACAAACATCTTGGAAGATTTTTCCTGTATTACTGCATTTTTATCAAAAAAAAAAACTTGATTTGAAAAATTACTTGAAATAATGTACTATGGCAGTACCGTGGTTCAGATGGTAATACTATGACACAGTTTGATGATCATATTAATATGCTTTGGTACTTGGAAGGTACCTCAAAGAATACCAAAGTATTATCATCAAAAAAATATTTTCCATTTTACATATATATATATATATATATACAGTATATATATATATGGTCATACCACGGTATTTTGTGTAATAAGTAAGACTATGAACCTATGTGCTTTAAAAGTAATGAGAAACATATTTCACACATTCTGTTTGCTCTGTAATAGAATCAGGTTTAGAGCAGTAAATGGTAGTTTGGGGATCCAGCTCCCATCGGAGGGCCAGCCTCGTTACCACGGTAACTGCAGCCGGCCTCATCGGTAGGTGTGTGGGGCAGCAGAGTCGTGTGACACGCACAGGTTCTCCAAGTCAAAGCTGGACTAGCTAACTCAAATCACCATCGGCATGTTCTATTCCTTTCACCGCCCGCGTCACATGCAGTGATGCTCTTCACCACCACCAAATCCCCCACTCAGACCCCTCCACCACCTGGTACAGGGCCACGGGGTTACCATGGCAGCAAGGGTGTATAGGCAAAGTAGCGTCTCACCGACTCCCATCATTTTAGCGTTAATGATAACATATATTCCCCTTACAAATCATCATGTTGTGGTATATGAACAGTTCTATGCTAAACACGAAACTAGGAAAGTGTTCTGACACGCGATGAACCGCTTGAAGTAATAGGACATGCGCTCACACATGTTTACTATTGGATTCCACTCCACTACATTAACTTCAGGAGATAGGACACGTGTGCCAGGCTCTGCCAATGTGTGTGTGAGTGTGTGTTAGAGATTCATGCTGCTGTAGCATGATGCCGCCCGGCCTTAAACCCCCCACCCCCCTTTTCCCAGCGTTGCGGGGCACATCAGCGGCCTGGGACGATAGTGCGTGTGACAGCAGCAGCCCAACCACACGCGCCAATGTGGGACACGGGAGGGAGGGGGTCAGCGCAGCACCTTCAGGCGCAGCAGACAGGACACTCGCGCACATACTCTGCATGCCCATACTAACACACAGGGTGCACCTCAAGGCATTGAGGACAGGGCAGAGAAAGATCCCCCTTCCCCCAATGCCTGTATGGGGTCAAAGTCACCGAGCCCTGAGAGGGTAAAAGCAGGCTGTCCTGCACACACGCTCACAGCCCGATATTAGCATTTGCTTTGTGCCACTGCAACATGGCATCACATACAGTGGCGTAACTACAGACAGTGCAGCCGCACTGGGGCCCGTGCCGCTGGGGGGGCCCGCAGCGCACGCGGGCCCTGCCCACATTGCAAGCGACTATATTAATATAAATGAATAATAAACGTATTAATAATAAAATACAATTAGTACCGAGATTCTTCACAGTACTGAATAAATACATAAATTCGCACATATTGGTTTTGTGGGGACACACGGGCCTATACTTTACTGCTGAAATGTTTGCGGGGCAAATCTCAGGTCAGTCTTGTTGTGATACGTAATATCTGAGCGCTCATGGTACTCACAGTGGGCATTTGTCGGCGATTTCACAAAACCTGTCGGCGAGTGAAAAATCGGGCTAAAATCGTGCAGTGTGAACTCGGCATTAGATGTCTTCATCTGGTGAATTTTTTAAAAAGTAGCATAAATGTATCCTTCACTGTCTGTGATATACCACAATCCTGTGCTGTGTTTGGCTGGAAGAACACAAATGGTATCTGCATGGTAGGGTTGGACGATTATGACAAAAATCATAATTGTCGATTATTCCCTTGAAATTGTAATTGCGGTTATTAATTACGATTATCACAATTTACATTGAATGATGTTTATACCATTGTTTAATGCAACTGCATGCCGTATTTTTATATGAAAATAAACAAGCTGAAAACACTCTAACTGAAAAACTTTTAGTGCTTTTCTATAGTATTAAGCCTCAAATGTCAACTTAATATGGGATTGGTTTCTTCTTTAAATTATAAAAAAGTAAAAATATGAATTGTATTATAATGTTATACTAAAACTAAAATTAAAATAATGGGAAAAACCCTTAATATAACATGTAGAGAGACAAAAACGCATCTTAAGCACACAGAATAACATAAGTGGACTTTGAACGATTAATTGCCGCTTTGAACGATTACGTAATTGTGGCATCCATAATTGTAATTGCGATTAGAAATCAGCCCTACTGCATGGAGTGATTGAAAATAGTAAATCGGTTTATAAATGTGCTTTTTTTTTTTTCATTTTCTCAACCAATAAATAAACACTGTTGTTATTAAAGATTTGCGTCTGATAGGGTCCAAAAAACAAGAAAAAGAACAATGTTCATCAACGTTAAAAAAGGGTAAAAAGGGTTGACATCAAAAGGCAGTGTGTACAATACAGCATTTAGGGTGTAAATGCACTCATCTTTTGGTAGATGCTAGTCAAATTAACCAAATGTTAAAATGCTTAAAATATATACATTTATAAAAATATTTTACCCACAATGCATCAAAAAAGCTCACTTTTATATTGTTGGGCAGTTTTAACATTTCTATGATTTTAGTGTTGTTTTTGTGCACTTTTTGCACATTACTCAATTTCTATTAAAAGACCGGGCAGGAGGGCACCATTTCAGACACAGTGAAAAACTGCCTGAAATGAGCAGATGAACAAAATGAGCGAGGGGAATTATTCCTTCACTCCACCTCTACCTCTATAAGCGGATGCTGTTTTTAAAGCCTCACACTTTTTCTACCTCCCCTATTCCCATGATTTCTCACATACCCCCCTCCATGAACACCAGCACCTCTAACCCAGAACCTCACTGTCTTTCTCCCTCACTCCATCTCTCCAGGCCCTCGTTCCTTCCAGTAACACCGGATAATTACAGCTTTCCCTCTTTCCCTTTTAATCTCTCCCTCAACACTCTCTCCTTTCTGCTACTGTTTCTCTCTTGCTTCCACTCCCAGGTCCTGGACCAAACAGCCCTGTTGCTAGGAGACAAGCTGGGTCGCAGGAGTGGCAACAACGGCAGCTCCCCCACGTCTCTGCCTCTCTGGAAACAAGGGATGGAGGGATTGGGAAGAGTTCAGTGGAGGGGAGAAGCCCTTCAGACATGTGTGCTCAGCCAAAAGGAAGAGACAGACACCGACCCCCCACCGACATACAGACGTCCAAGCAAACAATAATGACAAAACTGCAGAAATTCGAACTTGCACACCTGCACAACGAGCTCGGCATTGCAAACTCAGGGTGGAAAACCTGCTGATGGTGACAAACATTTACGGTACTGAAATATGGCAGACAAGGGGCCTGGCCAGACCTGTCTGCCCTAATTTTCAACAATGGGCTTGTACCCTCTCCAGGATTCGTGCTTTCTGTTTTGGCACACATCCAGAGGGCAGAATTGCTTCTCAAGTAAATCTATAGTTTTAAGGACATTTCTGTGTTTTTACTAGAAAACACGACAAAAAAATATTTACGGAAATGAGAGGAAATGTGTGGCATAGGGGGTGTGAAGAGGGTTTTATCTGTGATTGAGCGGATCGAGTGGGAGTGAAATGAGTTTGACTGGGTTAGTGCTAATTGTGACAGGCGGTCACAGTTTATGGGCTAATCTTGGCAAACGGCTGCGTAGATAAACAAACTGGTGGCTA